ACAGACCTGGTTCTGGACATCCATCGACTTCCTCAATGGATGAAAATGTTGACTCGTGGTGCATCTGGAGTTTGCTCCACCAGATCAGTGTTAATCAAGCTTTCAATTTAGAGCAGTGTTTCTCAACGTTCCTAATGCCACAACCCTTTAATACAGTTCCTCATGTTGTGGTGAACCCCCAACCATAAAATTATTTTCGTTGCTACTTCATAACTATAATTTAGCTGTTATGTATCAGGAGACCCCTGTGAAAGGGTCATTCAACCGCCAAAAGGGGTCATGACCCACAGGTTGAGAACCAGATATAGAGGTTCTGCAAAGATGGCAGAAGTGTGTGACAAAAAAGCCCGGATTTGTGGCAGACGAGGGACTGGTTTTGTCATGACAATGCACCTGTTCACACAGCCATCTCAGTGTGCCAGTTTTTGGCAAAACCTGACCTCACGCTGAGCAACTTCTCTGTTTCCACGAATGAAGAGGGACATGAAAGGACAGCGATTTGATGATGTAGAAGAGGTGAAGAAAAAAATTAGGGAGGGACTGTCAGTCATCCAAACAGATGAGTCTGAAAAATGTTTCCAAAAGTGGAATATCCGATTTGACAAAAGCATTAAGTATAATGGAGAGTACTTTGGTGATAGGATGTTTTGTAAAAATATTTAAATACTTCGTTTTTTTTGGGGGGGGGGTGAGAATTCTGTTTTTTAGAGGGTAGCCTCTCGTATATATGTATTTGATATTCTCCTATAAGTATCAGGACATTATAATTTTTTATTTTTTAAATCATTTTATTGGGGGTTCATACAACTCTTTTCATAATCCATACATACATCTATTGTGTCAAGCACATTTGTACATTTGTTGCCATCAACAGTCTCAAAATATTTGCTTGCTACTTGAGCCCTTGGTATCTACTCATTTGTTCCCCTCCCTCCCCACTCCCCCATGAATCCTTGATAATTTATTATTTTGTCATGTCTTACACTGCCCGACGTCTCTCTTCACCCACTTTTCTGCTGTCCTTCCCCCAGGGAGGGGGTTACATATAGATCCTTATAATGGGTTCCCCATTTCTACCTCCCTCTTCCCTATCACCACTCTCACCACTGGTCCTGAAGGGTTCATCTCTCCTGGATTCCGTGTTTCCAGCTCCTAGGGGGGATGGGGAGGAAGCATTTAGGAACTAGAGGAAAGGTGTATGTTTCATTGTTGCTACACTGCACACTGAATGGCTCATCTCTTCCCCGAGACCCTTCTGTAAAGGGATATCCAGTTGTCTACAGATGAGCTTTGGGTCCCCACTCCACACTGTCCCTCATTCTGAATGTTTTTTTTGTTCTTTGATACCTGATCCCTTCAACACCTCGTGATCACACAGGCTGATGTGCTTCCATGTGGGCTTTGTTGCTTCTGAGCTAGATGGCTGCTTGTTTACCTTCAAGCTTTTAAGACCTCGGATGCTATATCTTTTGATAGCCGGGCACCATCAGCTTTCTTCACGTTTGCTTATGTACCCACTTTGTCTTCAGTCATCCTGTCGGGAAGGTGAGCATCATGAATGCCAGTTTAATAGAACAATGTGTTCTTGTATGGAGGGAGTACTTGAGTGGGGGCCCGATAGGACATTATAATTTCAACCTTGTAAAATTTTTAATTAACCATTTTACTGGGGAGACTCATAAATCTTATGACAACCCATCATTCAATTGTATTAAGCACATTTGTACATTTCCAAAATATATTTTCTGCTTGAGCCCTTGGTATCAGATTCTTTTTTCCTCTCCCTCCCACCCTCATGAATCCTTGATCAATTAATTATATATTATTTCATGTTTTGCACTGTCCATTGTCTACCTTCACCACATTTGTCATTCGTTCCCCTTGGGGGTGGGCTATATCAACCTTGTGTTGGGTGCCCCCTTCCCCCCCCATCCTCACTATCCCCCTACCCTCATATTACTACTCCCAATACTGTTCCTAAGGATTTTATCTGTCCTGAATTACATGTGTCAAAAACTCTGATCTGTATCAGTGTGTGTACTCTGGTCTAGTCAGATTTGTAAGGTAGAACTGTGTTATGGTCGTGGGGTAGCGAACATTCAGGAACTAGAAGAATGATGGGTTTTGTCGGTGCTATACCGCACCCTGGTTGAACTACCCCTTCCTTGTAACCCTTCTGTGGGGGAGATATCCAACTGTTCACAGATGGGCTTGGGTCTTTTCTCCATCCCCCTCATTCACACCAATATACGTTTTAGATCTTTTGATATCTGATTCCATGGACATGTCATGATCACACAGGCTGGTATGCTTCTTCCATGTGGGCTTATTTGCTTCCCTGCTAGACGGCTGCTTGTTTAACTTAAAAGCCTTTAAGACCCTGGATATTATATCATTTGATAGCCAGGCACCATCCATTTTTTTTTACATTTGCTTATGCACCCGTTCTGTCTTCAGTGATCGTTTCAGAAGATGACTATCAAAGGTTTCCAGGTTATCAGAATAAAGTGTTCTTGTGTTTAGGGAGGCCTTGAGTAGAGGCCCTAAGTCCATCTGCTATTTTAATACTTAACATATGTGTAATTGGCCTCTATCCCTTTCATTGTAAATATACTTACATATATACATGCCTCTATACATAGCTTTTGTTTCCTACTTATGCCTCTATACATAGCTTTTGTTTCCTACTTCTTTCCTCTATTTCCTTTCATCTTCCTCCTGTCTCACTATCATGTTCACCCTCCACTGACTCAGTAATTCCTCTTGGATACACTGCACTTGATGAAACCCCACCAACTCTCCTGATCATCAATTTTAGATCTCTTGTTGTTCCCTCATTCTTGAGTTAGTTGACTACCTGCTCTCCCTTCCCACCCCATCCTCTCCCATGACCCCCACCCCCCGGAATGCCAGTCCTGTTGTTTTCTCCTCAGGATTGGTTGTCCTGCCTACTTTATATACAGACAGACATAGGCGCCAATCTTTTTTTATAATAAAAATCAAATGACAAATTAAGGTATTTGCCAAATAAAAACCAACAAATCAGAAACAAACCTATGTCCAGAAAATACAACAGTATATTTAACCTACTTGCATAATATTTATTTTCACTGATTTTTAAGTAAGTTTTTTTTCACTATTTCAAAATTCATTCTAGCACTTGTTTCAAAGAAAGTACAGCTAGTGTTAATGGGGAAGAAGTCTCTCCTGTGTTCTCAAAAAAGAGATATGTAAGATGGGAAGAGACATGGTGACTAGGCAATTTCACTAAAATGTGATAAATGCTAAGATGAGTATAGGGATAGGAACGGCTAATCTTGGAGAAGAGAAACTGTGGTATCATGAGGGAAATGAATGGGAGATGTAGGTATCATAATTTCAGGGAACAAGGAGAATGTGCCTGAGAGTGAATACATAAACAGAGTAATCAATAATGCCGATAGCACAAAAATACAATATCCTTTTCATTTTAATTGTTACCTTTTATTATTTTACAATATATTTCAAAAAATCCCTTTACACTTGCCTTAACTGCTCTATAAGACCTGGAATAAAAGAATACTTGGAATTAGAACACACAAACATCAAGCTGGATTATCTACTTGTACTGAACCATCACTACCAAAGGGATGCTGTTGTTAAATAAGCAGATGTGTAGCAATGCAAACTAAAATACACACTTGTTAAAACAGAACAGTAAACTTTGTTTTAATGGCTATAGAAAAGAGGTGATTTTGTTTCTTTTCAACACAGCTGGGTCTAGCAGCAAGTTGCACTATGCGTTTAAAGTAATAGATGCTCCTGAAACTTGTATTTTCAATTTGTGCGTGTTCCTTGAGTCACAGCCTAGACAGAGGGGGAAAAATGTAAGCAAGTATCTAGTCTGAAAATCTCCTTCTGAACCCATTCCTCCAGAAGATCACAATGTAGGTGAACTGAAGACTCTCCCCGGTGATGAGATTTTACATAAATTTCCCCACTGAAACTGGATGCTTTCCCCCCGCCCCCCTATTTTTTGAAAGAGAGGGAATGAAGTGTAAAGAAACCCTCCGGGATTCAATTTTCATTTCACTTTCTCCAAGTAGTAAAATAGCAGCCCTGCACGTTGGTTACCAAAAAAAATTGATTCCTTATTTCTAATCATATAGCATTAAATTTTATCTGGATTTACCTTTATTTCCAATAAAAGGGGAAAAAAAATTTGGTTGCCAAATATCTCATAAACTTCCTATGGCATTGCATACATGCAGTTTCCTCTTACCTATCAAAAACAACATATACATTCATACATATATATCTTACCTTTACTGAGGTTCATTTTTTTATGGCTGGATAGGAAAAAACACATTATGATACAGTGCTGGCTTTCTCGAGAAGCAATAATTTAGCTTTGTTTTGTTTTTATATCAATACAATCGCAGCATTTTCTTAATTAACTCACAAAAGGCGATAATAGAAAGGAAAGCACCTACTGAACAGCTGTGCCAGGCAAGGCATGTTTGACGGTTCAAACCCAAACAAAGACAAGCCTACTGTGCCAGGCAAGGCATGTTTGACGGTTCAAACCCAAACAAAGACAAGCCTACTGCCATGGAGTTGATTCGAACTCAGAG